GTGTGTGTGTGTGTGTCTTATATATATAGTAATGTAATGTAATGTAATGTAATGTAATGTAATGTAATGTAATGTAATGTAATGTAATGTAATGTAATGTAATGTAATGTAATGTAATGTAATGTAATGTAATGTAATGTAATGTAATGTAATGTAATGTAATGTAATGTAATGTAATGTAATGTAATGTAATGTAATATAATGTAATGTAATGTCTTGTCTTGTATTGTAGTGTAGTGTAGTGTATTATATTGTACATATATGTATTGTATATCTATATCTTTATATCTATATATCTATGTATGTATTTTAGATATATGTGTGTGTGCGGATGTATGTATGTTTCTATATTTGTTTGTATGCACGAATATTCCTAAATTTATTTTCAATAATATTTGTATCAAAATTTACGGGTATATCTGCGTATGTATATGCATTTATATATTATATATATTATATATTATTATATATATATATATATATATATATATATACATATGTATATGTAATTCTGTTTCTGGATATGTGTAGATGTTTGTATATACGTGTATACGCAAATTCCTAAATTTGTTCTCAATAACAATATTATCAATACATGCGTGTATATATGTAAGTATTCAGGATGTCATGTATATTCATCACCACCTGTTTCAAAACAAGCGGCCCTCATGAAGCTCTATTTTTACCCCGTATGATACTCAGGCCAGGGTGTCCAAAAAAGGTCTGATTGAGCGGGAGAACGCTGTGATGGGCAGTTTATCGGCCCACCGAGACTTCAGGAACATTCACCATGTATGTCCCATGCCACTCCCACAGATGTATACGTATATGCTTATGCAAATATATATTTATCTATCTATATATTTATATATATTTATATATTTATATATGTGTATACTTCTATGCTAAGCAGGTGTTTCCAACGGGATAGATAGGAAGTGAAAATAATGCATGTTGGAAATATATTGTCCTCGTGTTCATTTGGAAACAATATATAGAGGATGTTTGAAACTATGCCATGTCATTTGGAAATTGGTATACCGCATTTCCTTTTACTATGAACACCAGAGTAGGGGGTTTAGAGGTGGACGTATGTAGATATATCTATTTAGATTTACAT